ACTATCTGATGATGGTAATGTCTATCACACTTACTGCATCTCATATTCCAAGTGTTTAGAGTATGTAGAGAAACTCAGGAAGAACGAGAACTTTTTGGAGTTTGAGAGGGTAAGCTGATTTAAAGATTTTCCGATTCTTTTTCAGTTGGTGTTCTTTTTAAATGTAACAAAATAACTTTAAAAAATGATTAATGTGCATCAAAACCTCAATCAAAAGTTTTCACAAAAATGCATAAATTATTCAAAAAAGGTGTTATAATTTATTCTTCATATAACATGTGCAACGAATGATAAAAAAAATCCTTTGATGTATATAAAAGTCTATTTTTACTTAATGTTTTTGATCAAAATTCTTTCCTGTCACACTGTGGAATCTCTGGAAGATTTGGATAATTAAAATTTAAATCGGTAGTAGTTTGTTCGTTTGAGGATAACAAATCAATTAACTGATAGATTGATACTTTTTCCATGCTAACTTTGGTCCCCTGGGAACGATGATGATTCAGAAGATTTTAGATATAGTTCACGGAGTTTAGCTAAAGTTTAAGGTTCCTTTGATTAATAGGTTAAACATTTCCCTATACAAAAATCGCAAGATTTATGTAGGTATAGTTTATAATGAATTTTTAAAAAAATGTTGATTTCCTTACAGAATATTGGCATATACACTATAAATTTATAAGACATATCTAGAACAGGAAGTAATGAGACTAATCATACAGTCTGAATAAAATATCATCATTTATATTTCATCAATTCTTTTGAAATTGGGTGGATCAGTCTGGTTTGATTTTATTTTAATCCTGTTGACTAAACATACATGAAAAATGAAGATAATGAAGTAAACACGCAAAAAAAGTTCATTGTTCATTGAAACACTACAAATCAGGAACAATGCAATCACAAACAACTAAAAAAATTAAAGATTGAATTAGATGCCATAAAGAGGAAAGAATATCCTGTCAATTGGTAATAACCGTATGCTCTTTGTCTAAATAACTAAATGTCGTATTTTTTCAGTGGTGTTCCCAGGATCCTCGTTGTCGGAGACTACAGTTAAATGATTTCTTGGTGGCTCCGATGCAGCACTGCACAAAGCTCCCTCTTCTCCTTGCCAACATCAGGAAGTACACGTCATCAGATTATGATAAAAGTATTTTGGCGTTGACTATCGGCAAAGTAGAAATATCACTGCGTAAGTAAGGTTGAACAGAATTGATTTGAAACATCACACAACGCATTTAAGAAGAATAAAATCCCTTTCTCGAAAGAATAAAGATGTTAAGAGTACAGTCATGTATATTATACTTAAAATCGATTCAGACCCGGTTTATGTTTCTGTACGTTGTAGAGTGCTTAGATGAAAAAATGAGGAGAGAGCGGAACACACAGCGTCTACAGGAACTCCGACAACAGATCGTGTGGCCCATTGTGACTGATCTCGATCCTCGTACATACATTCCAGAGGTTAGTTCCCAACACATAATTGTGAATCAATATTTAGCTATGTTTTATACTCTTTAATTACCTTACTAACAAACTTTTCAATCTTCGGTTGAAAAATCGAAAATCTGATTAAATCTTTCGTTTTAAAACGATTTGTGTATATTGACAAAATAAGTTTTACCATTCATTTATGACAATAGCCCTACTGTTTATCAGTGTAAATCTTTTTGCATTCTATTCTCTTTGTTTACTTAAATTGAATAAAACAACAAAATCATGTTTTTCTATTCATATATACTTCTCTTCACAATCCATCGTTGTTGTATATACACTCTTCATTTTCATCATAATATATCGTTGTAATGTTTAGGCTCATTTCTTCTGTTCATATTCTTCTTTTTCATAGTAATCTATAGTAGCAGAGTTTACAATCTTAGTTTTCATCACAATATATCGTTGTAGTGTTTACGCTCATCGTTTTCATCACAACCTTGTCCCTTACTTCTGTCCTGTCCACACCGGCTCCTACTCCACGAAGGCCCACTTACTCTTATTCGTAAGTATCAGTTGAAAAAAAAAATATTTATTTTTACATTTTTAAACATGTTAAATGAATTACAATTTTCCAGGGAAACATTTATTTTCATAAATGTAACTGTTATTCGATCCTATTATCATGTTGTTGATTTATGTCAGTTAGGTAATTAGTTCACTGAAGTTGCCTTCATTGAAGCAAATTGATCAGAAAATCTTCTTTATTGTGAAAATTAAGTTTGGTCAGAGGATTTATACCTGTTTTTAAATATAACTTTGTGCACTTAGCAATGTGTAAATTATTCATTTCGATTAATAAATGACATACCCCAGAACCACGAATCTGGCAAATGATAAAAAATATATATTTTGCCTGACAATATGCATAAGTCAAAGCAGTTCATAGTGTGTATTGAAAGTTACTGCTAAATTTTAATAGGCTGTCGAGACGTTTGGCCATTTGTAATTTCTAATACTAGTATCACAGATTAAATTTTTCGAACCATCTTGATGTCCCCGTCTGTTCCACTAGTATATCATTTTCATTTGCAGATATAATAGATTGAAATTTATTTCAGAAACAACGAAAAATGTTGATGTTTATCTCTTTTTATTTGATGACTTGCTGTTAATAACAAAAACCAAACGAGGAAGAAAGGTGAGTTTAAATAAGAAAAAATTATGTCCAATCAGTTTAGATTTTTTTCATACAAAATGCATTTCTGATGATTAGAAAAAAATATATCATTCAACAATTTGAAAATTGTGAATGTATCTATGATCGTAAGAAAATATATGCACAATTGTATATCATTTTTATCAAAGCATCCAAATTCATAAGTACTGATTTGTCAAGCTGATAAAAGAATTTTAAATGTTCGCCTCATTTTAGAAACCGTCTGATCTCGGTCAAACAGACAATAAATCTGTTTACGTTGTATACAGACAGCCTATTGAACTAAGATGTCTAAAGATTCACGACGTGGACACATATGACAACTCAGGTACACTCCCATTTTTATAAACATGTATCTAGAAAATTAATCCCATGCTTGGAAAAAAGATCACATAAAAATTATCAATTTTTTTATGTTCTCATCTAACAAAATTTGTTCTTTTGTTTTTCTATTTATGCTTTCTTTGAGATAATCATCTGTTGTAACATTAATCAGCTTTACTTTAGGAAGTAGTATAAAGAATTCGTTAGTTTTGGTACAAGTGGGTACATTACAACAAGTCATAGGATTATATACGCTCCAGTGTCCCTCAGAGTTTACAAAGGTAATAATTATGAATAATACTGTTTATTATACTCAATGGTTAGAATTATAGTATTTAGTATGGTTTGAATGATAATTTTGTATTTAAGTAAAAACCAATACAAACAGTTTTATTTGTAATATCTAAGTATCACAGAACTGATGAAACAAATATACTTTGTGAACTAGATATTAAGATGTGTTCAAACAAGTTAGCACTTCAAGTTTACTAGAGTAAATACAAGAAATGAACAAAAGTAAGCCATAGTTACTGTGTTACAACAAAATTTAACATTCAAATTAAATATACATGTAGCTGAAGTTGTCTAAATCCCTTTCTTTTGCAATAAAATGATTCATACTAAATACCAGTAATTTTATCTCTGTGAATTTTAATAATTCAATTATCATCTTGTTTACCAGGATATGTGGATATCAAAATTAAGTGACGCCAAATCAAAATGCTACCTGGTGAGAAAAGATCCATGTCTGGAGATCGAGGCTTCAGATCCTGTTCCGGTCAAAGAACAGTCACCCAAAACGAGGCGACGAATACGCATGCTCAGGAATCACAAAAAGAAATCCATTTCCATGGACACATTATTTACATGTAGTGAATAACATTGTCTTTTATTTAGTATTAATAATACTTACTGGGTGAAAGTAAACTTTGACATACGCAAATACTCAGTGAATTTATAATATGAAAGATTCAAAATCTACAATATACAGCAAAACATCATCCTATTTACAATTTCACAATGTTTCCATGATGTTCGTCCTTCATTCTCTTCAAATGAATTTTTATCCAAAGAGCATGTCAAAATGTGTGTCATCAAAAATACCGATATGTGCTTGAAGGTCATTTATAATTTTTTTTTTCATTTTCACAATGTTATCGTTCGATTTAACATCACTGGAAATGTCCGATTTTCCCCCTCGAAATCGCACCAATTAAGAGATCTATGTATGTTAATTATTAATATAAACTAGATTCCACTTTAAAAAAATACGATTAATATATTTTTTTGCAGACATAGTAAGAAAATAATATTTTTCTTTTGCAGCAAGATGATTTTATGAATATTATAATAAGCTTGTTTTGTATCGATTAAATACATGTACTCATCTGGTTAAATTTATTTCATATTTTTCAAAAAAGGGACAATTTTAGTTTGAAACCCTGGATAATTAAGTTATCGATACTTACGAGTTTTGTCTACCTAACCGCTTACTGTGATACTTACAATGATATTAGAATTAGAATTCGAATTTCATATTCAATGTTCTGTCTACCATTTTGAGATGACGTAATGATTTCCAATAAAACACGTTACAACTAGATTTTTAAAAAGCTAGATGTCGGCCAAAAGCTTTCCAGATTTTGTGTTTGTAGTTATTAAAATCTGACGTTATACGAAATTTCTCAGATTACGTTGTCATTCTATTTCAATTCTGTGATCCTTTTTCTTTCTCACAGATCTTATTTAAAATGATATACATGTAACATTTTTTTATATTGTTGTTGTCTTTTATTGTCCTTTATATCTTATTATTGTTGTTTTGAATCATGCTGTATTCATTGATGTTAACATGTTTGTTGAATATTAAATTTGAAACTTTATTTTGTATTTTCGTATTGAATGTGAAAATTAAAGAACATATTTCGGCTCAATTCTTTTGATGAATTGAAATTGAAAAAAAAAAACAATCTAAGGCCTTTTTGTGAGAAAAAGAAAATCTAGAATTTGGTTAAAATTATTCCGTTCAAATGAACGAACGTGGATTAGTGATGATAAAATCAGTATTGAAAAAAAAGGGCAATGTACGTTTCTTATGCCCTTAAAATTATGAGCTAAAATAGATGTGTAACGCCTTATTGAACATAAGGCATTATTGTACATAAGTAAAAGTTTGAATTTCAAACTCCTCCTCGCCAGAGCCACACAAGCAGATTAGTCTCCCTTCATTGTCACAACATAGACTTCTTATTACTGTTTTTCTCAATTTGATTGGTTGCGTCTCCGTCAAATTTTCACCAATAAAATGAATAGCTGGCGGTCCACTACTGTAGACAACAGTGTTTCCAAATCCGTCACACAGAAGAAGACGTGGTTTCCCCATGTCTCTGGCTAGATATGTGCCTTCTGATTTTCCTGCCGGATCTAGAATAAGCAGACTACCTGCACTTTTATCTATGAGCCAAATATCACCACGTAAATCCTCCTGAATTTTGAACGGGTCAATAACAAAATTCCTATCAAATTTAATCACCTGTAGTACCCTTCCGCTGTAATCGCATCTTGAAATCCTGTATTCTCGTTGATGACCTCTTCGTTTTTTCTCCTGGACTGTGAGTAGGAAGCCTGTGTATGTACAGCTTATATCTACGTACTTCCAGTATGGTTCTTCATACAATGTTTTAACAGAAGATTCTTCCAGATAAAATTCCATAAGCACATCATAGACGGCTAGGAGGTATTTCTGATTAGGTGTAGGTGTCAGAGCACAGTGTAGAGGACTTGTCTGAGCTATAAGATCAGTAACTCTTTCACATAAAACTTTGCCATGGAGATTCTGTACTGTCAGACCATGCATACGGGATGTTCCATTATGAGCAAAAACAAGTACTGTTACCAAGTGCACTGGACCTTCCGCAGTATTAACGAGAAAATGAGAAGAATCATTGTATACGTTTGTAATAGAAAGCTCTTTTTCACTCTTTCTGATAGTTGTAGATTTTTTCACTGGTTTTTGATAAAGGTGTGGACGCTCTGATAAATATGATGGATCTTTATAACAGTTATAGTTTAATTCTAATTTCCTACTTTCTTGTTTTCTATCTGAATATTTCGCTTTATATGATTCAATTGTTTTACGTACTTCGATAATGCACTTTTGGGGATTTAATCTTGCTATAATTGGATCGAAGTTTACACGAACACATAATTTTTGTAGAAAGTTATAGTCCAGGCCCCGGGATCATGAAACAGACTTAGACTTAAGTCAAAATTTCAATT